GTGGGGGGGGCAAGGGACACCAGTAGGGCGGGGGGAGAGTAGGGGGGCTTTCATTTTAATCATGGATTTTGAGGTTTTTAAATCAGAGAATTTGCCATTTTTTTTAATCACAGAAAACCAGGATCCCTGTTTCTCACAGAATAGCAGACCTTCAGTTTTTCAACCTCACTAACTAGATGCTCCCTCAGTATTCTGTTAGGGAACATCTCTAAACTGTAGCTTCTATCACTACACCCAATGCATCCCCTTCCCTTGTCCTACGCCATGTCACTGATCCTCACCCCACATCCCTCCCTGCTGTCCCTCTTCCCTCCCTTACAGAAGGTACTGCTAACTCTCTTTGTCATCAGTGGCAGGTATTGTTTACTGGAGGCAGTTCTCTTGCTCCTCCTCCCCCTTTGCAACACTGGCTGCCTCCTCCCTCTCTCCTCCCCTAGGGGTGATCTGCTGGTGCAGCCAGTTTTATGCTAAATTAGTTGATGGTTTTCATCCTGTTACTACATGAGGTATCCTCATTACAAGTGCTGTAAGCTGGCATACCCCTTGGCCGGAAAAAAGCCAAGACCTGAATAGTGATGGATACTGAACTATGTTCAGCCTTAAACAGGCATCTCTTCAAGTCATGAGGTAATTTAGGGAAATAGGCATCATGCAGCTCCTTCCTTACCAACTATACCACCTCAAAAAGATTTTTAATTGCCAAGTCTGCCTATTCAGAACCTTCTCTTACAAAACACTAGTAGTAGTATCCTTGGCATTTGGAGTGAAAAATGTTAGGTGATCAAAAATATAACTGCAGTCTTCTCTGTGAAGCTCTAACATATGCACTGTTTGAAGCAAGCCCTTTAGATTCATCAGGGAGGAAGGTGTGGGACTATGCACGTATTTTATTTTGGTCTCCCCTAATTTTTTCAAGTTTAGCTGAATTATCAACTGTCCAAAGTTACTGTTTAATTCCCTTTTTGCAATGCTCAGGAAAATGTTGATAACATATCCAAAGTAAAAACTGAGCGCAACCACTCTAAAGAGACTAGCCCTATTACCACAGCTTTGGCCGACAAGCCAAGCCAAGAACATCTAGATGTCATAGCAGATATAGTAGCAAATTTTTTTTTTTTTTTTTTTTTTTT